ACTTGTTGGGTCTTTCCCAAAAAGACTCATGGCTGTATTAGTTCAAAAGGGTGCTTCTACTAAATACTGAGCAAAGGGTCTGAATACTTAGGACCATGTGATATTTCAGTTTTTCTTTTTTAATAAATCTGCAAAAATGTCAACAATTCTGTGTTTTTCTGTCAATATGGGGTGCTGTGTGTACATTAATGAGGAAAAAAAATGAACTTAAATGATTTTAGCAAATGGCTGCAATATAACAAAGAGTGAAAAATTTAAGGGGGTCTGAATACTTTCCGTACCCACTGTATATACACACACACACACACATTTTATATAAGCAGTGGCTATCAATAAGATGCTATTTACATTAAGTGAAAATAGCAGGATTTTCTTAGCGATATGCTATTTACACTAAGTGCAAATGACTATAGATTCTATTTACACTGTTAAAATATCAGGATTTTCTGCTATGTATACTACTTATTGCAGGTAGTGGCAATCAACTGCACCTCAGTATTGCAGTACTTTATAAAACAGTGTGCAATAATAACGTATTGAGGGAAAATTATCATTTTAATTGGGACACTAAAGCCCTCCCTACATCTACACTAACCCTGCCCGATACTTCATTTTCAACTTTTTCATTATTTTCTTTCATTTTTTTATTAAAAATAAATGCCTTTCCGATGCACAATGAGATTTAAAAATGGAGAAAACAAAAAGTTCAGCAAAAGGCAGATTCGAACTTGTGTAGATCGTGTCAAAAAGATAATAAATGGCATACACTAAACCCTCTACACCACTGGACCTGTTGTTCAATAATTGTATTTTGTAGTGTTGACTAGAGCTGCACGATTCTGGATAAATTGAGAATCACAATTTTTATGTCTCAAATAGAGATCATGATTCTCCCCCGATTCTGAACTAAACAAAATAATGTGTGGCAAAATATTATTGCTGCAGTCTATTTAAAAGTGTTTAATTAATTTGAATGAATGATTAAACATTTTAATGTACACTACCAGTCAAAAGATTTTGAACAGTAAGATTTTTAATGTTTCTCTTCTGCTCACCAAGCCTGCATTTATTTGATACAAAATACAGCAAAAGCAGTAATACTGTGAAATATTTGTACTATTTAAAATAACTGCTTTATATTTCAATATATTTTAAAATGTAATTTATTCCTTTGATAAAAGTTGAATTTTCAGCATCATTACTCCAGTCTTCAGAGTCACATGATCCTTCAGCAATCATTCTAATATGCTGAACTTCTGTTCAAGAAACATTTTATTATTATTATTATCAATATTTAAAACACTTGAGTACATTTTTTCAGGATTATTTGATGAATAGAAAGATCAGCATTCATCTGAAATAAAAAGGTTTTGTAACATTATACACTCTACCATTCAAAAGTTTGGAGTCAGTATTTTTTTTGGGGGGGGGACTATAAATTAATACTTTTATTTACCAAGAATCCAAGAATATATTTATCAAAAGTGATGATAAAGACATTTATAATGTTACAAAATATTTCTATTTCAGATAATATTGCTTTGAAATCAGGAATAAATTACATTTAAAAAATATATTCAAATAGAAAGTTATTTTAAATATTAAAAATATTTCAAAATTTGACTGTTTTTGCTGTACTTTGGATCAAATAAATGCAGGCTTGGTGAGCAGAAGAGACTTCTTTAAAAAAAACATTAAAAAACTTTTGACTGGTAGTGTAATAATATGTATTTCAAATATACGGTAATAAATGTAATACACCAATTTAATGTTAAAATTATGAAAAAGTTGTTTGAATCAATGATTCAACGACTCACTCATAAACCTACTGGTTGAATCAGTGTTTTTGAACGATTCTCTTGAATAAATGATTTATTCAATTATACATTTTTAAGTCACTTTTTGCCACCTAGTGGCCAAACAATGCAATCGACAAACGTTATGCGGCATTTAGTTTCAAATGCGGATTTGCTCTATTTTGGTCGTGCTACCATAGACATCAATGTTTATATCTGAATTATAAACTTTCATCCCAGTATTTCTGTGATAATATGAATGATTGTACGACAGAAATAATACTGTGTAGTTGAAAAGACTGTTTGTGAAGCCGTTTCTTAACCAAACATGGTAACTGCTCTGTGTGTCAGCGGCAGTGCGAACGCAGATTTGAATGATCCGGTAAGACTTTGTCAAAGGTTTAATAGACACGGGAGAA